GCTGACTCTACTGTGATGTGACGCTGTCTCTCTCTCTCTCACACACACACACACACGCACGCACGCACGCACGCGCACACACACACACACACACACACACACACTGCCTCACCTCAAACATTGCTCTCTGACTCCAATTAGATCCCAATCCTCCTGCCCAGATTGCTCATTTACATTTTAATAATTTAAAATCAATCTCCCTCCACACCTGAGAACTGATTCTGAACCCTCAGCACACACACACACACACACACACACACACACACACACACAGAGAGATGAGTGTGTGATCATGTGATGTGTGAATATATATTCCTTATAAATTCACTGATCTGTTAGTAACCCACCTGGTACTCTCAAATGTGTGTGTGTGTGCTTCACTTCTGCATGATCACTCATCTCCTGCAACATCAGCCATCAAACCAGACCCTTCCTCATGCCATGCTGACAGATGTGAAAGTCATTTTGTTATGTGTGTGTGAGTGAGCAAGCCACAGAGGCACAATGAGCTCCATCCTGCGAGTGAACTCAAGTGCTTCGCTCCCATATGGGTGCTACATGGTGTCTGTCAGCCTGCTATCACTGACTAGAGAGACATCATACCCAACTCTCCCCTCAAACAAGAACATAACACCAGCCCAACTCTGCTTTACTGCTCCTCTCAGATTCCTCCCAGACTCCTTTCATGTCATGACACTGTTTGTCATGTGCTGTGCTGCAGTTACTTCTGAGGTGTGAGATATACAGTATACATGCCATTCAAAAGTTTGGGATCAGCAAGATTAATGTTCTTTAAAGAAGTATCTTTTGATAATCAAGGCTGCATTTATTTGATCAAAAGTAGAGAAAAAAATGTAATATTGTGAAATATTATTACAATTTAAAACAGCAATTTTCTATTTTTATCATACTTTAAAATATAAATTATTCCTGTGAATCATTTATTTTCAGCAGCCATTGCAGTAGTTAGTCTTCAGTGTCACATGATCCTTCAGAAATCCTTCTGATTTATTATCAATATGCTGATTTATTATCAATGTTGGAAACAGTTGTGCTGCTTTTTTTTGGAACCTGTGATACTTTTTTCAGGATTCTTTGATGAATAAAAAGGTAAAAAGAACAGCATATTCGAAATAGAAATCTTTTCTGACAATATGTCTTTACCATCACTTTTAATCAATTTAACACATCCTTGCTGAATAAAAGTATTCATTTTTTTAAATTCTTTAAAAAAATTACTGATCCCAAACTTTTGAACGACAGTATAGGGTTGGTAACAATGTTGGTATAGGGACCAATTCTCGCTATTAACTTGCTTATTAGCATTCTTATTAATAACATATTAGCTGTTATTAGTGCTTATAAAGCACATATTCTTCATGACCACATTTTACATCCCTAATCCTAGGCAATACCTAAACTTAACAACGACATTACTAACTATTAATAAGCAGCAAATGAATAGTTTATTGAGGCAAAATTCATAGTTAAAGGTTTGTTAATGGCCAGAATTGGACCTTAAAATAAAGTGTGACCATAAGGTTTTGAGAGAGTTATGCAACTATTCAATGATTGCTCTCCATCAGTTACAAACACATAATACTTATTCCAATAGAAATTCCCCCATTCAAAATCTGACAGGGATGATGTCACTGAGATATTTTTATACTTATTTATTTTCTTTACACTGCAAAAGTGAAACACTAGACAGAGAGGCTGCCTTTATCTATTTATAATTCTATACTGAATACTACTACTAGAGTCAATCGATATAGAGTTTTTGTTGGCCGATATTTTAGAGAGCAGGGTGGTCGATATAAAGCTGATATATATGATATCACACTATTTAATTTAAAGACAGTAATCAACACATGCATAATGCATTAATTCAATGCAATTAAATTTGTATTTATTTTACAAAATATTTAATAAAATAATTTTACATTATTTGAAAATTAATCTTGATATTTTAATTAATCTGTAATATATATATATATATATATATATATATACAGTGGGTACGGAAA